TACTACACATAATATATATATATATATATATATATATATATATATATATATGAAATATATAAAATAATATATTTTTACTTTTACAACATAGATCTTTCGTGGACAAGTACAATAAATTAAATAAAGTAGAAAAGTTCTATGTAACACATATTTTTTTCATTTCTTTTTTTGAAAGACTTAATAATTATTTTTTAAAAAGAACACTGTTCATTTTTTTATATTAAATAGACAAAATTATCCTAACGTATTAAATTGCACATTTTCTTATTGACTTTCAACTCGTGTACAGACTACAACAATTTCTTCGATAGTACCATACAATGATGTTACCATGAATACTATTTTCTGATTTGAGTCACAGTCTTACAAGTTTGCTCGTGATGAATATCACAAATCTTGTTGCAGCTCATATAAAGCGAGAAGCTTCAAGGAGTCCAAGAACATGCTCCTAAATACTTTCGTAGAAATCAGTCTTATGCAGAATCCATTAGCGTTCATGTTCATATCTTTTATCGATATTACGTTTTCTTATCTTCTTCGAAATATCTTCTTGATGGCCTCTTTTCTTTCCGATGATACGAGAGCAAGTGGCGTCTTTCCTTCCAGATTTCGTTTGTCCGTCTGGCCTCCGGCTTGTATCAAGAGCCGGCAGACCTCTTCCTGCTTTTCCAAACTTATAGTATTCGAGACTGCTGCGGCCATGTGCAGTGGTGTATTGTGCATATAGTTGATTTCATTCACAACATTCGGAGTGGCCTTGCTCAGCAACACCTATGAAAAAATATGAAAAAAAATTTGTAATTTGCATAAATGAAAATTGATGATATTATTTTTAGAATTCAATACCGAACTAAAGATCGCATGCCAAATAAATTCAAAATGTATTAAGTTAAATAAACGTATTAAATTAAATAACTTATATCAAGAATTTGGTTTGATTCATCTTTGTAATTTATCTTTAAAAAATAATTATATATTTTCCCAAAATATTTATATCTTTTTAATTTTGTAACATTTTCCATCTTTCTACAATTAATTAATTTATTTGTTTGTTTTGGATATAATAATTAATTTTTCTTTAATAATAACTAATAGAATGCTTTGTTTTATAAAATATAGAATAGCAAATGCAATATATTTAAATCATATAAAAATTATATTAATTATTATTACATAAATGCTTTGATATAAAATGAAAAATGAGGATTTAGCAAATATTGCAATCTTTTTTAAAGAAGAAAAAGTTATTGTTACGTGTTATGTAATGTATATACAGGAAAAAATGCCTCGAATACACAAAATTGATTTTTTGTTAGCATCTAATATAATACTTGTTTTGTCACTTATAATCATCAAATTTGATAATATTATCAACTTAACGTCATCAACTCAAGGGTTATCGCATGGAATTCTGGGTGAATAAAAGTGAATAAAGTTACATTTTATTTCAACATTCTTGTTGTCTTTCTTTATCCATCTTTGATTGATGAATTTTGCTACTAAGTTTATCTATCACTCAGATATGACGAAAGAGAGATAAAAAATAATCATTTCATTTAGTGGTACAACATAATTAAATTATCATATATATTCTGAAAGAGACATTTCTTTCAAACTAGAATTGGATCTTTTTGATGAATTTGAAATTAAAATTTTGTTAATGAAATATTATACAAGACAATTTTTTTAATAATTTGATATTTTAATAGTAATTAAATTGTAACTTGTTTTAACTAAAATAAGAACTCTAAAATTAATTGAAAAATAAATCTAATTACATGAATCAAAAACAATTTGTCAGAAAAATGTCAAATATTTGATAAATAATATTCCAAGATTATTAATTAAAAGATTATCACTATATTAAAGATTAGTCACTAAAATATTTCCTTATTTTATTTATATTTTATTTATTATCCTTGTTCTTATTTACTTCCTCTTATTCACAAGAAAATTATAAGATTTCCTGTATACCGAAGCATTTCTTTTTAATTTCAAGAAACAAGATACAGATTCACGTAAATAAAAATTTAATAAGCCGATTATTATGCGATTGATGTTACAACTAACGCGCGCAATCGGAAAATTACTCAAGTGGATTACTTTCACAAGTGCGGGATCGCAACTCAATGAGGCTGCCATATGTAAAGCAGTATCGCCGCACTTATTTTCGTGGACCTTGATGTCCGCGCCGTTCTCCAAGAGTAAACGCGTCGTGGCCAAGGACCTGACGCCTCGTCTGGCATGCGATTCGACTGCGATATGAAGAGCGGTCTTCCCTAAAACGCACACGCGTTCTTATTCCTCTATCTTAGATCAGACCTTAGTGCAATTTCATGCTTTTTAATCTTGTTCTTGTTTAACTAACCCTCGTGATTGCGCTGGAACAGGTTGAAGGCTGAATTTCCTTGTATCGTTTTCAACGCCAATAACTCCGCTAAGACTTCTGCATGAGTATCTCCACGTGCCGTAACTGAGTGCATTAGCGTGTCACCCTAGAATGACAGAAATGACGATAGTATCAGAAAATTGTTGACCACGTATAAAATTATCTTCAACGTTTGTTAAAACATGTTAATTATAATTTGCTTAGTACTTTTTCTAGTGCGATCGTTAAATGATTATAAATATATAAATATATATAAATTTAATAATTGCAAACATTTACTCACTGGAAATGTGTGTGTGTGTGTGTGTGTGTGTGTGTGTGTATGTGTGTGTGTGTGGTAGTGGGTCGGCGCGCGCGACGTCGCGTCAATATATATATATAATAATAATATATAGTATATATATATAATGTATATATATATATATATATATATATATTAAAAACATATTTTAAATAATATATGTATGATATTTGTCGAGATAAAGAAAACTTTTCATATAACCGGAATAATGGGAATTATTCCGTTTAAAGACTCGTTTGTGAAGTGCCTGATAAAGCATGCCTGATTAATTGCATAAATGCGACTTAATAAGTTGTGCAAAAACAACGTTTTTCTCGTAACGGGAAAATCATCAAGGAAACTTACGCTCTTGTGATATGTCTGATTGATATTAATCCCCTTCTTCAGCATTGCAGCGCCTAGATATCCAGTAACGTATGGCATTTCCGGGCAATTCATGGCAGCCAAATATAAAGCATTTACTTTGTGTTTGTTCATCTTTGTTAAAGCTCCCTCCATGGTGCCCAATTTTTCGACCAATGGTATCAAGTAAGCCATCTTCTTTCTCAGTTCTTGTGGATTGCCCACCAGACACATCAATAGTCTATTGTATGCGATTGTCATATGTTAGTAGGCGAGAAAGAAAATTCTGATAATTAAAACAATAAATAATTTTTTGTAAATAATTTTAAAAATAATTTTTTATAAATAATTTTAAAAATTGAAGACATAGAGAAGTCAAAGTAAACATAAAGATTGTTTATTAAGTTGTTGAAATAATATTTGGCATTTATTTTTAATTAGTAGATTATATCTTATATGAAAAGATTTAATATTAATTTCATACTAATTTACATATTTAATTATGATACATCCTTGCATATTTATACATTTATATATAAAATATCTTACGTGTCACCATCCTCATCCGCGGCTGCTAATTCTTCTACGGATTTTTTCAGCAAATTGCTCATGGCTCTTCGTACATCATCATCATTTAATTTTTTCTTCAGCCTCTCGCTTGCTTCTACATTTGGTAATCTTAATATAGGCCATGGTGATATGTCCCGTTTCAGATTCCTATGAAAAATCAGGTCATTAGCCTCACTTTTTATCGCTTATTTATGAGAGAGCTGATAATCGTTTCACCCGAACATAGCGGCGAGTAACACAAAAATTTTAATTTACCAAACTTTATTAATACAATATAATTTAAAAATGATTTACTTATGAAAATTAAAAATATATGAAATATTATTCCACCAAATGGTAAAATTAATAAACAAATGTACAGTGTATTACAGTGTTTAAAAGTTAACACACATGAGATAAGTATATTATTTTACAAAGATTACGTAACACGTAGGAAAAATAATTATCATATAAAATGTATAAATACATATGTATAAATATAAATTAGGATTAATAATAGATGTGAAAAGGGTAAGATTACAATGTTTTATAATCTGATTTTTCAAGAAAATTTGGAAATTCTCATGGCCAAGATGTTGATTTGATAATAAATTTACATAATTAAAACAAAAAAGTTTATCAAATAAGTGCTGTCAATATAACAGATTTAATAATATTATACAATTGTTGATAATATTAACAATTGTCAAGACAAACGAATAATCAATCTTCAATTGAATTGTAAGATATTGACTGTGATGAGCACAACTAACAATAATGTTATTAATGACACTTGTATTTAAAGTACTGAGAAATCAATCTTTTTTACAATGCATCCTTAGCTATAATAAAATAGTATATATACATGTAAATTCTATTTCTAATTTATAGTTACATATTCTCGTATTTTTCAACTGCCCGAAGGTACTGGAAGTATAAAAATACTACTAAAAACTTGAATAGTTAATTTATTGTAACACTTCTCGTTACGTATTTCATATCGACATCTGTTATTAATTTTGATTATATAACTTCATGGAAAATATCATAGAAAATATACATATTTTTTTACGCTCACGAGCAACATCAATGCAATATGCGTTTAGAAATATACAGCAACAAAACTGAAATTTTTTCTGATTATATCTCTGAGACGAAAATAATTCGAGAAATATCCAGTATTAATCCACATTCAAAAATTATCATTTCTTTCCAGTGTCAATACTTTAAATCATCTCTTTTACTTGTTTACTATATTTAAACATTCTTTATTGTTTTCACATATATATATGCAACTTTATTTCATGCTTACCTTGGTGGAGGATTAGGTACAAAAGAGGAGACCATCGTTGGTATCTGATAGTCGCTGAATACAAACGTCGATTGTAGTTGATTGTATGTCTTGTCTTCATCGATGGCATGAAACATCGGATACTTCTCTTGCGACGCAGGCAAGTTCTGCTCGGATGTCTTCACGGATGTCTCATTGCTCAATCCGATCTCAAGCAGAGTGTTCCCATTGTGCGGCACAATATTAACTTGGCCATTTTTCGGGATCGATTCGTAATACTTTGGTTCCATAGCTGTCGCGTAACCATTTACCGCGCGATTCACGTACGTGCAACCACCGTTGCTTCCCTTGTTCGCATAAACCGACAGAAGCTCGCCGTTAATAGGTAGATTTCCAACTTGGATAGGATCTGCATTGGATATGCCCAAACAAGCTTCCGGCTTCTCGTTTCGCATAGTACTCGCAGAATATTCGCGCGACACAGAATTCAGATCACTTCCCAACGTTTGTACGGATTGCTCGTTATAAAACGGTAAGTAAGGAGGAATTGAAGTAATCTGCGATTCTTTTAACGCTTCGTGTCCTTCGATCTGTCCGTTTTCCTCCAACATCTGATCCATGAGAGGAACTGAGTGGAACAACTGGTGGCACAACTTGGAGGAATTGGAAAACTCGTCGGTAGCGTCACTGCTATTGACAATCGTTTCTGAAGAACAAGGATCTTCGGACAAGGATTTAACAAGCTGTTCCACAATTTGATAATTTAGAGGCGTATGGTAATTCGATGGGCTAGGCACATCATTGTAGGATTGATTGGATGAGGATGATGAAGACATTACTTGCTGCATTCGATACGTCGATGCAACCTACGCAGAAAAACATCCGTCCAATTGTACTACCTATCGTGAATTCATTTTGTATTTATGCTAGGTCGTAGCGACAAATGATAACTACTACATAAATTTATACAGCATAACAACATAAGCTGTTAGATAACTACTTGAATGCTTCGTGAGATTCGTCAAACAATAATAAAACATATTTTATGGATGAAACAACCGGTTGGACTCAATTTTAAATACTGGAATCTATTATTACAACTAGTACATATATCTTTTTTGGCATCCCCCTCCCTCTCTCTCTCTCTCTTTATATATATATATATATAATAATATATTGAGTTGGCAAATTAAATTTAGTTCGTTTTTATAGAGTAAAATAAAACACAACTTTTTTGATACACAAAATTTTAATTAATTATATATTGACCATTTTTATCAATGACTTCTTATCCATCTTTCCACTAACTTCATTATACCGTGTTCGTAGAACCATCTGCGTCTTATCTCAGCAAAAAACCAATCCCAGGTGTATTTTGACGAACTCCTTATCCTTAAAGATTTTCCTGTTCATAGAATTTTGCAGCGACCAGAAGAAATGATAATTAGAAGAGATCAGATCCGATGAATATGGAGAATAAGGCAAAACATCCTAGCCAAGACTAAGCAATTTGTTCCGGTAGTCAATGGGATCTAGCGTTGTCATGGTGGAAAACAACATTCCTGTGATTTATCAATTCTGAATGTTTTATGCGGATTGCTTTATCCAATTTCATTAACTGCAAGTAGTATACGGTTGAATCAATCGTTGTGCCTGACGGTAATGCTCGTATTAGATAATCCTTAAAATCCCACTATATCGAGAGTATGATCTTCTTCGGGTGCAATCCCGCCTTCAAGATTGTTGCCAGCGGCGACTCGCTGCTGTTCCCTCATGATCTTTTAACGCACTCTAAACACGCACTACATTCATCGCCCATCCGCTTTAAAAATAAATCGTTTTCTTGACATTTCCTTGCAGCGAACCGCAGATGAATATGCGAGTGACCAAGTTGGCTTCGGATAATTCATGCGGCATCCAATATTGAACCGAGAAACGTATCCCAGCTAAATAGTTTTCTACGCTTGTATAATATATTCAATACCGTAGCAATCTCCGATTGGGAGATGGATTTTTATCGATGATGGTCCAGTCGTTCGAGTGAGATTGATTAAAGTGATGATCTTGACATCACAGAGCAGGGCGCATCATTGACGTCGAAATCTCCAGAATGGAATTTGGCAAATCACTTTTGGCATACGCGTTCCATTAAGGCATCATCCCCATATACAACATTTTTCATAAGCAGCTCTGCTGTCGCTCCGTAGTTCATTTGCTTTTTTTGAAATAATAGAGCAAAATATGACGATAATGCACGTTATTTACTTCTATTTTCACAGCTATGCAGTACGTACAGTACTGACGTTAGCCGTACCAAAATTCACAGACAAATTATGTGAAACATAACTTTTGAAATGCGAATTTGAGTTGCGCGAAGCAAGTCAGGCGTCAAGAAAAAAAAAGAGTGAACGGACTAAATCTGCACCAAAAACCGAATAAACTTATTCGCCAACCCAATATTAGATATCATTAATATCATTATCATTAATATCATCATGAAATAGTTTAATTAAATAAATTGATATAATAAACAACAAAAATTATTTAAATAATATCATAAAAGAGAAATCCTCTTTGATAAATATAAAAATATTGCCTACCAAAATATCGTCATGATTTGCTAGAGATAAATCAGACGACCTACCTTAACAAAATAAATCGGACGCAACATGCGATTTGCGTATTTAATCTATAATTCAGTTCAATCCTTACTCGAGCGACTTGCACAATGTTACACGTTTTCGAAGCATGCAAATGCAGTCGCTCGCGCAGAGACTTCAGCACTTCGTTTTACTTATTCCAGGCATGCGAGATTCGTCGAAGCACCACTTATGCGTGCTCCTCATACATTTATGCAGATTATTGTGAGCTTACCTGCGGCGAACCGAGCGGGCTGCTGATGACGTTGCCATGCATCCGTGGTGACTCCAAGTTTGTAGCGGATTCCGTTGACTGGGCGCGACTAGATGTTCGACTGTTTGACCTCGAAACGACGTTGAAGCTGCTTGCCGGGGAATCGGACCAGGTTTTCGTTCCCGGCGAGGGACTTGAGTGACTGCTGGCATCTGAGATTATTGCGGGTTGAAACTGCGGCATCATATTCATCAAGTATTGTTCGTTATCATTAACGACTATGAAGGGAAGTGCCGCGGTCTAAAATAAAATAGATTTTCCTTTAGAGAACAGAACTAGGAAAACTAGGTACTAGAAACCTTTTTATATCATATTTCTTTCTATTACATCAATATAATCTCGATCAAACCAACACGTATACAATCTGTGTTTTATGTATAAAATAATTATGTAATTGCACACACACACACACACACACACACACACACACACACACACACACACACACACACACACACACACACACACACACACACACTAC